TCCTGAACACATTTTTTATTTGGAGTGTTTAACAATCATCACATCTCCACTCAGTAGGCACAGAAAATATCATGTTTTACACTTTGAGGTATAGCTTCAAGGTGGTTACACTTGAGCAACTTGACCTTTGGACATGAAAAGCCTTAAGGAGTTGGTCTTAGTTTATGTTTAGTTTATGTGAACTTTCCAGGTTAACTCTTTTCATTGGATGTTACAACTTGGCCCAACAGTGCCACCTACAAAATCTGAAAAAGGCTTGAGTGTCCACACCACCCACCCCTCTAATAGCTGGACATTTATTAAGGAGCAGTTCTGGGACTTGTGTTAAACACCTGTTGGTGATGGGAGTGCGATGCATGTGCAGTGCACAACTATTACTGTAGAATAAGTGATCTTGGATTTGTAATCTAGTTGACTGGTTTTTGTATAAAGCACTTTACTACTCTACCTGTAGAGGAAAAGCACTTTATACAACTTCCCTCATTTACCCATTCATACAAGGACTTCTATATGGAAGTGCTTTTGGATGCATCAGAGGGGAACTTGGGTTCCGTATATTGTCAAAAGATATTTGGCAGCTAAGGATCGAACCAATTCAATTCAGTTTTATTTGCACAGCACCAAATCACAAGAACAGTGAGGTATAGGTGCTTAATACTGTAAGGTAAAAACCCAACAATACAGATAACCCCTTATGAGAAAGCACTGGGCGACAGTGGGAAGGAAAAACTCCCTTTTAAGAATTGGCTGGAGGTGAGAGATAAGACAACACTACAGAAGAGAGCCAAAGATAAATAATAACTAATGACTCGATGCAGAGAGGTGTGTCAACACAGTCGTGCATGAATGGGGTCTAAAAGACAAGGTGATGTTTTGGAGGAAGTAACTACTTAAGTTAACTCACTGTTCATTCACTGATTAGTGATTTTAAACTATTGCACTCCTCTTCGTCTTTCAGCTTTTCTTTATAGTCGGTCACATCTGCCTTCATCTCATGTCACGCCAAACCTCTGCATGTCCTCCTTCAATCTTCTCTGTGCTCTTCTTGTTTGTACTGGAGTGACCCAAAAGTCAGATATTTAAACAAAAACTTTCACAAAAACGTCTGAAATTTTATTCAAGAGGTGAAGATGTTAGATGCTCTACAGAAACAATAATATACAATTTTCTTAGCATCATTACCCAAGCTGATCCATGCACATAACTCCTGCTGTGCACAGCCAGCACTCAGAATTTGGCTAAAACCTCGACACATACAGACAACTCGAGTTGCCACACTAAGTATTCGTAGCAGAGCTCCCTGTATCTTCTACAGCTTTGACGGTGCTGTGTTTACTGCTGATGTGCAGGGTCATTTCCTTGCGGTTGGTTACCACATGGCCACACTGTACACATGTATAGCGCCCCCTGGTGTGCTCCCAAAGGATGCGTCTGCTGCAGGCCAAACCTAAAGCACAAAACAAATAACTGTGAGTGTTTTGATTTGCTAACGTCACAGGATACATTTAAGGCTTTGCAAAAGGTGACGGGTTTCATCTGCGACCATTTTTAATCATCCTTTCAAAAACAATAATCAACCAGGAAGCTGCTTTATTTAACTACTGCTGCACTTGTGCTGGGCTGAGTGTAACTGCTCCCATGCTGCGAGTCTGCAGTGAACCCGAACTCACCTGGACTCTTCTTCCAGATAGCAGATGACCCAGGAGGAGAATGAGGTGCTGATCCTGGAGCAGGATGGATGGTCTCAGGTGACCTGGTCTGTGGCTGGTGCTGAACCTGGAACTCAGGAGGGTCAGCGCTCGCTTTTGGACCATCCATCTTTAGACATGAGGGCATGTTAGGGGCTTTTTCCTTAG